AACAAATGCTGAATCTCATAACTCAGTGGTGCCATAGACACTAGCAAACTGGAAAACAAAATATATACCATAAAGTCTTCTGTTATATAATATTATAATCATCATCTTAAATATCCAATTTATAAGTATCTAAATATGGCAATAATTCAAAACAAGAGCACCGCATAAACAGTTAATGATTTGAAGTTAAAAAGGGGCATAACTCCAAAAATACTGCTTTCAGAATTATGCCCCTTGTGTTACAACTGCATTTTTCACGATAAGAAATTATTCCAAAATTCATGTTGATATCTTTTTGAAGTTTTTGCATAACAACAACAACCATGACAACGATGACCCCGCAGAAAAGGTCGAGCTAAAAACTATTGCCTTATTAGCACTGGTACTAACCATTTGTAAACAAAGATTTGATCATGTCTCTGTGAAAATAACTATACAGGAAGTAAATATTGTTTATTTCTTTATGAAATTATTGTAGATATTTAAGCTTTTACAAAGCTACAAAGTTATTAATATAATTTTCAAGTTAAGAAAGTATTGTAATTAACCTGTAATTTTTGTTTAGCACCCTGGATCTTGTGGAAGCATCAAGACTAAGTAAACTCTCACATCTAATCAGGTCAACAGCTGACCCAGTTTCATTCTCGGCACACAAGCTCTTGTTATAACGGAGAAATTTAACAGTATCTCTCAATAACAGAGCATGAACAAAATATCTCCTAGCCTCTCCTTCAGCTTCAAAACCAACCTAAGAATATATAGCAGAGCAACAGTTTAGTTAAGAGTGACAAACTATATACACTAATTTTTTTCAGACAATAATCAGTTTTTCAGCAAATATAATAGTAGAGTATTGAATTAATTGGTGCATTTTTAATCCTGTCATCAATTGCATGTTTGTAGTTACGTACTGAAGTTTTACCATATCTTTATGAGTTTTTAATTTCAACAAACACACGATACCATGCTTGGATATGCAAGCACTAAGAAAAATACTGTTTTGTCTTAATTCCTACATATGTGTATTGACATGCTGTGAATTAGGTTATGAGAAAACAATACAATTCAACAGCATTTGGTTTGTTATTTGTTAAAAACGTCTCATAAATCTATAACATTAAGCCATTTAATTAACCTTTAGCCTTCTGTCAGCAGCCTACACACTTGACCAGTGCATACCATGCAATATTAATAGCAATATGAAATTTAAAAGAACAGTCCACCTAGTCTTGATCAACCCTGTCCCAAAATATGGTCTGCCCTGTCCAAACATAAGATCCGCCCTGTCACACGGTCCGCCCTGTCTGTATAATTCTATCAGATCATGGTCTGAACTGTTTGCTATTCAGTCATTACATATTTTTGAAATTTTCTCTAAAAATGGTGGTTTCCTCCAGATTGAGGGATGTAAGATATGAGCATGGTAAGAGTTAATAGTGTGAAAGAATTAATCAATACCTTTTCAAGTTCAGACAGAAAGCTGTCCAAAGACTCATCACTCAACTTTCCCACCTCAAACATAGTGACAGCATGACTCTTTAGGCCCTAGAAATATACAACAAAACAAAAGAAATATACAACAAAACAAACTTCTGAACAATTATATCAATCTTTAAGTACATGTATATGTTTTCTCAAATAGTTATACCTGAAATTTTGTTAAATTCTATTCTGTTTCATTTTCACCTACTAAATTCAATCTAAGAAAAGCAAGGAATGCTGGTGATTCTATTATTTATGCAGAAAGCTATAAGGTTCTATATGTCATCCTCAAGCTTACTTTCTTGACAAACTTTTACATGTGAATTATGAAGAAGCATTGCAATGCACAATTAGCGCCACAAAGGCTCTGGATTGCCTGCCTGACAAGCCACGGAAGAAAAAGGAATAATGTTATCTATAATAGAAGTTGAATTTGAAGCTGAACTTATCCTTGGAGAGAAATGACTTAATAACTTACAGGTGATAAATTACCCATCATGAGAAATGCAGTTAAAGTAGAATCAAACAGAAATGCAATTCTTTTAGTAGCACCAATTGAAACAGTATCTGAAATACAAAATCAAACAATATCTGTTTCATTACTGACTTTTAAATAATGCTGGTTTTGGAGAGAAAAGTCCAAAGTTTGTTCAGCAAAATAACTGCACAGAGTACACATCTTTATATAAACAATAAATGTTTGTCAAAATGATGTAAGTTACAGGTTAAACAGTTAGTGAAACTCCAACATTAAATGGTGTAAAAATAAGATGTTAAGTTACCCATAGATGATTCTAAGTTGACTAGGTCAGAAACTACAGTAGGTTTGGTAAGAGAGGAGGGGCTGGGTGGGTTCTCATTCACATCTGCCAGGGCATCTCCCCAATCTATAATCAACTGCTCTTGTGTTACTCTGAAATAATGTTTTAAAATAACTAGAAATTTTATTCTGAAGTGATTAAGGCCTGATAAAAATTTAGTAAGTCAAACTTTTAATTATGAACATTACCTGCAACAGATTCACAATGTTTCATTCATTTAATGTGGATCTTTCTACCAGGTGTCATGGAAAAGAGTTAAAAGCACATTATGCCTCAGAAACAAAAGAAAATATTTCATTCTTTAGCTTTTGGGAAATAAAATCATTTCTAGGGCATAATTGGCCTTTACAGTTGCTGTCTTTTCACTTATTAGGCATAAAATAATATCACTGTCGGTTTATTTTCTTTACAAATCTTAGGCTATTTATATAGAAATATGACATTCCGACAGTGAGGATATAGCTCACTAGTCAATAATTGTTTATTATGTTTTTTATAGTAGCTGTATATTATATTATTTATTGATGAACTTGTTGTCAATAAAAAATTTGCATTAATATAAATTCATTATGCACACTGCTGACAAAATAGAGGAGTACAATATTATGTGGTTCCTTGTCACTTTTGTTTCAAACATGCTGCATTTGCTTGATTAATCAGAACAACTATTCATTAAAGTACACAACCTCTATATACATATACATAAAGTAACTAACTTTTTATTTTGAGGTCGAAAATCTTTCCACGAAGGATGTAACTCATCCTCATTAACTTCTGATCCTTTCTTCTTAGCAAATCCAAGTCGACAATACATAGATACTGCCATCTGATATAGATATAACACTTTCATAAAAATAACATGTCAGAGCAACCCAAAATGTATAACCTACATGTAAGTTATGTTTATGAAATGTGAAATGTTTAGTTGAAAACGGTTGCCTGTTGATAGTTGGAGAAATTGAATTACACTTGAAACAGAGTATAATGTGTGTCACAGATGTGTTTTTAATGCAATAAAAACATGAAACAAAGTTTAATAGATAATTTCAAAAACAATATTTTACTGTATTTAATATAGTGAAATTTCAAAGTTTTTATTAGTTTTACACATCAAATATTTAACATCAACATTTAAAGAATTTATTTTACAGTACCAACATACCTTCACAAGTTGTAAATCAATCTGTAACACATTAGAGAGCTGAAAAATAACAAATAAAAATAAAATTTCTAAAATATGTCAAGATTTATCTCGTAACTACAAGAAATATCAAAATCAGAAAACATTAGAAATGTGTACCGTATGTATTATTCTGGGATACATTTTGAAAGAAGGAAACTGATAATCTTACTTTTTTGTCTAATTTCATTTGCTTCTAAATCCAAAAACAACAACTGTTTTATTGATGAAATTAGGTTTATAACAATGAAACCCAAAAAAGTTATTATTACCTCAGCAACAGTAGTATGTTCATCAATAGATACAAATATTTTATACAGTAATGTCTCAAAGTAATCCCCCAATACACGATTCATCACAAAGTTCTCCAGCGGTGGCACTGTAACAAAATCAAATGATACGAAAGGTAAAACTTTAGCTAACTTTAAAAATCAATCCATTTTATCTTATTAAATTCAACTCTTTATTTTTTAGGATCAGTAACATCAGCACTGACAAGATAATTAAACAACCTTCCAGACCTGAGGTACCCCTGTGTAAATTATTTCAGACAATGAAAGGTAGTCAAGAACAACCAACTTTCCAAGAGATACCTGACCAGCTGTTGTTTTAAGAACCTACAATTATCAGTGACATGTTACTTGATGTACTCTATCACAATGGTCCTCTCAATATACATAATATGATATATGAACTTTAGATATAACCATTGTCTTGTAAGTAAACAAGGATTTATTTTTCATTGATTATAAATCTAGTAATAAATATAGAAACAAAATTCATTTGTATGTTCACATTATATCTCTTTTTTACGACACCAAGCAACGTCAACAGTTAATAAGAGTGACTATAAGTTGTTGATGACAAAAGTCGTGATAATACTGAAAACATTCAGATACCAAATTAAGAAAACTTATATAAGGAATATGGACTTACATATGATAAAGTCATCATCCTGTATAGGAACATCCAAGTATACAAGTCCCCGTCTATATAAACCTTTAAATATAAACACATCTTTTCACAGTTTAAGATGATTTTTTTAATTTCTTGAACATAAGGATATACAACTAGTTATCTGGCAGGATGCGAACCTACAGCTGTGAGGGGCAAGTGGTTTGAAATAAACAACCTTAACTACTCTGCTACCCACACCTATAATATCTTATGATGACCTACAAGCTCAACAATGGTAGAAGACCTAAGATGCACCCAGATACATTATTTTAGGCAAATGCAGGCATCTAACTTATCTAAGCAGAACCAAAGACCTGCATAACTTCTCAAAATTCATTGACTGGATTCAAACCTTTAGTGAGGGGCAAGTGATATAAAGTCCTAGACCTTAACAACTGTGCCACCAAGGTAATACTGGTAATAAATAAGGACATCCATACCTTATTATATACCTAACAACTTGTACAACTTTATAAAACAGGGCTTTTTTCTTCTATAGCATGGATAGTTTAAAGGCCTCTTTCTCTCTGTAAAATTCTTTAAAATCATGCAGTATTCCTCTAAAAATTCAAAGTCTTTTCTTCTCCTTTGGTAAAAAAAAAATGAGTTATTCTTCCCCAAATTAAAGGGAAGGGGCCCAATTCTCTACCTGTGAAAAAAGCCCTCTGAAACAAAAAAATATTCAAACTATTTTTACAAAATACAGTAAACCCAAAATGATCTTTGAGTCACTCTGGTGATTGTCATTAGATGTGGTAAACTTTTTATCAAGAAATCATTTCAATTTTTCCTTTAAAGCTGACTCAAATTTACAGTTACATTTTAATGATATAAAATAAGCTGAGAGAAATACAAGGAGACATTGATGTACATACTGTGTAATAATTTATAGTTGAGCTCTCCAGCTGGTTGGGAACCAAGGTCTATGATCCTATCTATCATATTCTTCTCTGCTGTTGAACATAACTGAAAGACATAAAACTTATTAATCAGCCTTACTTCACTACAAAACATACATTGTTTTTATACACTTTCCATCCATATGGTTACTTAGTTGAATGGGTAAAATGCTCTGGAGTATTCAAAATTTCAAATAGATAAAAAAATACCATAAAAATCTTTATTTTGTGAAATAAAAATGGATTTCAAAATTTTAAAATATTTCTAAATAAATTTTAACATTTTTACTAATGATTTACAGGTAAATTATGCAACAATCGCACAGAAAAACCTTAAATACTTGTATATTGTTAGACATAGCAGGTTATATATTTAAAAACTTTCACAATAAGCAAATCCCTTCCAACTGAACTCATAGGCAGGAACTTTTTTATCTTTTTGTTTTATCTTCTTAGAGGTCATAAATATATATAAACCAAAAGCCTTGACCATTTATTTATAATCCACCAATTAGAGACTTTGACCATTCATAACACATATGAATCAAAATCCATTCTTATTTCATCTTAGATACATGTATATTCTAAAATAAAAACACCTTAGTTCTATATTATAATATTATAATTATAGAAACAATAAGCCACCAATTAGAGAAATGCTATCATCAACTTACTCTGATATCATCCTCTGTTATAAATCCTATATTAGCCATCCACCATGGATCTATAGCCACTGTTTCTACAGGTTTTGTTGGGAGTAAATCTTTTGGAGGCTTCTTTCGAAAAAATTTCTGAAAGTTCCATTTATAAATTTGATACATTTTATAGTTAGAAAATTTTACTAATTCAAAGGCATTTAATCCTTTCAATGAATGGCCTGACTGTTTTATAACAAATAAATGAATAACCTGAAGAATGGAATATAGTACCCGAAACCGGTAGTTAGAATAAATACATAAACCGACCTGGTGTTTTATTGTGTTGTTCTCCCCTCCTTATCTTTTAATTTCACAAATAAATGAAGAATCTTGATGAATTTTATTTGCACCAAAATGAAAATATTTACAAGAATTTGATGGTATGGCTATTTTTATAAAGGTGAAATAAACCACAATTTTAAACATATTTATGTAAAAAAGAAGGAACAAAAATTCACAATTTTACCTTAGAGGATCTGCACTGATTCATTAAATCAATGTATTGGTTTCTACCAATCCCCAATAACCTAAGACCTGAAAAATATAAATGATGGCAAGATTATTTTTTTTGATACTTACCAAATTTGTAAATAAGTCCTTAGGGAGAAAACTGTTTTTGCCTCATTTATAATAAGAAACTTAAAGGTTTCCAGCCAAAATAACATGTTTTTCTCATTTAAATATAATTTGATATGTAGAAAACAATAAACATATTAAAACTACTGTTTAACATTTCCTTACATTTTTTGTAACCTGAATTGTAATTTCAGCCACTCTTTCAAGTGATGATGTAGGAATATTCCTCACATGAAAAAAGTCACATGGTATTCAGATATAATATTTTATACTTACAATCTGCGGCAGTAAAGTTTGGTAATGAGTCATAGCTTCTTTCCTGTGACATTATGTCTGACATCATGTTGATGTAGTATATAAATGGTGTAACTCTCAGTCCCTTCACAACTACATCAGATAGGTGATAGGGATATAGCATCAGATGATCCTGGCTGTATTGTAACAACTCCTCATAGTATCGTCTCTCATTATCCTTCCTTACAGTCTTTACTATAATTGTATAAAATTTATGATACACTAACGAATATAATATAATACCTAATGTTACAAAGTCCAGACTATCAATGACATGTTATTAAAATATCAATACTAGTTACCAGTCCTAGAAAATACCATTTTTTCAACATTTTTAATGAATTTGTATTTGTTTACAAAAAACAAATTATTTAAACTAATCAGCATACATTCTCTTTCAAACTGAAGGCTTTCTAAATTTACTTTAAATGAACCTTCAATGTATCTTTCATTCCCCTTACATAACACTAAACATACATACAACTATTTGATACATTCATATAAATCAATATGGCCCTTCAATTCTGAGTAAATTAAGATTTAAAAGTCACAAATCATAATAAATTCTAACTATTTTTTCAAAACAAATAAAACAGTCTTACCAAGATTTGTTTTAAATCTCAGCTGATTGTTGACACTAAACTGCACCACTGCCTTTTCATATTCCTTCTGTGAATTTCCTAGTATCTAACATATAAAAAGAAGCTTAACTGGATAGGAAAAGCAAAAACTAACATATTTCTGATATTATCAAATTAGATAAAATCAAATCATAGTAACTAAGTAAAGGGAAATCACAGGCATTCTGAAAGTCTAAAAAGAAATGCTTAATACTCAAATTCAATTTCTTTCATTTGTAAACTACTAAACTGATGCATTTTAATGGACTTCAAATGTGTGTATCTAAATTTTTGGTATAGAAATGATTTCAATAATAAGCATTTTCACAGAGATTGTATTGTAACACAGTATGCTAAGCAGTTTCAAATTAAGGCTTTCAGAACCAGATATGCCTGTATTTTTTTCTTTAAAATTCATCCCTTTTTTTACAACAAAAGTTACAATAAGATATTAATGCCTCATGCTTCATAAATCTGTTTAGAGTGATCTAGAAGTAGTATATATGTGAATGGCAAGATGTTGTTTGGTTCAAAATAAAAGTTTAAATATTTCCAAATGGATCTTTTTACCAGCTATTGCATAATGCTTGTCAAATATTTTGACATTTTCAAATCTACTTTTTTTTCAAACTAATTTTAGAAATTAAAGCAGTGTTTAAAGATTTAAAGACAGATTAAAGATTTGTTAATATAATAATTTACTGGGTATTGCAGTAAACATCTAGTTTACTAGCAGACCCTGGAATATAAACAATATTTGCATGCTAGCTTAATTATAAGGGGCTGTTGCCCCCCTATTTCCCTATATTTTTACATTTTTATTTCTTTTAACTAAAACTAAACTAGGAATAAAACATTGTAGCATTAAATTAATAACAGCATAATACACCCATTGACAGTCTCTATATGAACTAGTCGTAAAAAAACGGGGTATATCGAGTGAAAAATACAAGTTATTCCCATTATCTTTGATTAAAATTGATATCTCTAATTCTAAAACATTACAAATTTAGCTGTTTTTAAACTGCTAGTTGTAATATGAGACTGTTTATATAAATGTATACATGCGCATGCTTAGAAATAACCTAACACAGGTGCTTCAGATATCATGTGTTTAACCTTTTGAAAGGCTCTATCATGTTGCTCTTCCCAGCAGAATTCGACATCTTTTCTCAAGAGGCTCCTGAGGGGAGCTGTCGCATCCGCGAGATTTGGTGCAAATTTTGCAAGGTAATTAACCATACCTAAAAATGTTTCTAACTTTGGCCTCGTATTTGGAGAACCTATTTCACTTATAGCTTTGACTTTGGACTGGTCTGGTTAAAGACCATTCTTGCTTATTACATGACCGAAAAATGGTACTTCTTGTACACCAATTTTGCATTTATCTGGGTTTAATTTGACACCCTTTTCTCGTGCGCGCTCAAACACGTGCTTTAGATTTTTATCATGTTCTTCCTGTGTGCGACCGTATACAAGAATATCGTCGACTATTGCAGTTACGCCCGATAGTCCTTCGAGAATTTCGCTTATTTTCTGCATAAATAAGTCACCAGAAGCCGATATACCAAACGGAAGTCTAAGCCATCTATACCTTCCGAACGGCGTGTTAAACGTAGTTAGCATTGACGAACGTTTGTCAAGCTGTAAGCTCCAATATGCATGCGTTATATCAAGAATACTGAACATTGATGCGCCATTAAGTTTTGAAGTAATATCTTCTAAAGTAGGCATGGGAAAATGCGGTCTACGAATTGCCTCATTTAATGCTTTAGGGTCAAGGCATATTCGTAATGCCCCAGTTTTGGGTTTTTCTAATATCATCAATGTTTAAACTTTTAAAACATATTTTTAATATTGAATGTCTGTTTGTTATGATATACAATCAAATGCTTTTATTAAAAGAAGAGAGATGTAATATGAGACTGTTTATATAAATGTATACATGCGCATGCTTAGAAAGTAGTCCAACAGTTCTTGTTAAGAGATTATCTTCAGTATTAAACTTGTAGTCATAGAACACACTTGTGTATCTTATTTCTCATTTGAGTTATATGTTTGTCTACTTGTGATATACTCATATACAAAACCACATAACATTACACTAGTGTGGGGTGATTTAATGTCCAATTTTTAAATTTATCGCATGGCTGTGAGCTTTTCCTTTGTTCTTTCTAACCCATTATACTCAGTACACTTTGATGAGCATTTCAAAACTGTATTGATATATAACAGTACAGTTTTTTCATTGATTCATATAGGAAAAAAACTCGACTGTTATATATTGGTCGAGTTCTTTTCGTACCTTGTATATATCAATACAGTTTTTTCATAGAGGCTCCAATGGGGCAGTGGTAACGACCATTCCCAGTAGCAAAAAAAAACAACAAAACACATAAAATAATAAAAAAATGAAATCAATAAAATAAAATAAAATAAATATATAAATACAATGAAAAATATAAACAAAGATAATTAATGAAATGAAAAAAGCCCTTTAATCTTAAATCAATCTTGGTAACAGTATACAATCCGCCTCTTATATTGGATGTCTTTTGTATATTTTTTTGCGGCAGCGAAAACAACTTGAAAAACTGCCTTATGATAAATAACTGTAATGTAGCTAACGATTAATTTATTTATTTGTTTCTATACAAAAAAGAAAACATTATGCCATTGCGATAAAACAGTTATAGTATATGAAACTCGTTAGTTACGGGGGTATAACACTGGCTGGGGCGACATCTCGGGATGTTTCTGCAAAAAAAAATTGTCTCGGCCTAACGGCCTCGCCATTTTTTAGCAGAAACACCCCTTGATGTCGCCCCAGCCAGTGTTATACCCTCGTAACTAACTCGTTTCATATACTATAACTATTACTTATTTCACCAAATTCAAATAGAAAGTTTGTGAATAATAATCTTAGCTTTAACTCAGTATATATTTCAACATATCGTTTGACATTTAAAGGTGTCTAAATTTATGGTTAAACCTACAAGTCAGACTATTTTAGTTTTTACATACTATTTATACAGTGAGATACGCATTCAGTTATCTTTACTTGCAAATCAAGAATAGCCTGTCATCTGCTAGTTCTGAAACTGTCAATGGGTGTATTACAAACTTGATTATTTCTGGGGTCTGCTAAACTATATAGATTCTACCCCAGTTTTGCTTTAAAAAAAACATTTAACTTTTTGATAAACTGGAATTGGGGTACATTGTTATAAATACAGAGTCGCGACTGTGAATGTGACATAGCTAACAGTACTGTAGATACAATTAATAGTGACCCTGACCCATGATCTTGTTCCACCATTATAGACTTTTAACATGAGGCATTTTCCTCATCCATAATCTTGTTGTTTTTTTAATTTCATTCTGATTGATCTGATTAGTAAAAAAGAGAGCCAGGATCTTTCTGCAGACTGTTCAGCCATTTACATTTTGGACCATTATAAAATGAAACCAACAGATGTATGGTGTAGAGTTATAGTACTCCCCGCGGGTACCGCGTCCTTGCCCATTCCGGTGTAATCAGAAAATGTGTTTCTTTACATACTGAACGGGACCAATCGAATGTTTCCACCATTAATGTGAAAGTGGAAGTGCTGCTTTTTTTAATTTGGATAAAAATTGTATGAAATATTTTCATTTTAAATAAATTTCTGTCATTGATAGGAAAATCCAAAACTACCCGAGTGTGTTGGAAATACTTTTTTATTTTACCCCACATATTCCAGTTAAACTGATATTTTCATGTTCTGACAAGTGCAGGTCGTCTGCTGAAACTGCAGTGACGTCATATTTAATTAAAAAAATTCTACTGAAGCCAAAAAGGGCCATCAATTTACGTACCACGGTACCATAGTGCTTTCTGTTTTAGCTGCCATTCAAAACATGGCTGAATGACCATAGATGTTTCTAATTTAAATCATTGAGTTATTCCATGAATGACAGGTGTATTTTCAAGGCAAGATGCGACAGTTAAACACAATTTATTAAATAGTAAATAAAAGTTCTTTTTATGTATACAATTTGCTGGAAATAATAAGAACAGTGGTACCATAGGGGACCATCCTATATCAGTGTATATGTAAGGTAAACTTTTCTGGAAGCTTGTTGTTACATTAACTTTAGCTTATAAAGTTGGAATGTTAGGCATTATATGTGGTGGCGCGATAGCTCAGTTGGTTAAACCACTGACTATCACTCCTGAGGTCCCGGGTTCGATCCTGGGTTACACCCTTGGGATTTTTCAGAGACACTTTCAGTGTTTCCCACCTACATAGAGGTGTACTGGTAAGAAATCCAGGAAATCCTCGCATGTATCAGTGCTATACACTGGGCATGTAAAAGAACCAAGGGGTCTATTCAATAAGAGCTAGGGACTGGTTCCCGGATTCCCTTGTATCTTAAAGCTGTTTCTTAAATGTATACAATGTATACCTGCCTGTAACACTCGTAAGAGGGGTTGGCAGTATCCAGAGATAGATAGATAGATAGATTATTTGTTTTATTTTTGGATTCTTAGCATATGAGATCAAATAAAGCTTTAAATTATATTGTTATAACAGTTATAAGGAAGAAAGTAGGATGTTCCGGGTAAAATTGACCAACCTGTTTGACATTGGCAGGAAGTTTTGACCATGAGTGATTTTGCCTAATGTGGTTTTCAACGTCTGCATTCATTTTGATTTGAATAAATGCAATTTCAATGTATGTCAGTGGCCTTTTCTAATTAATTGAGTAAACTTTTGGCCCTCCCCTGCCTTTTTCTGCCATGTTGGATATTTCAGACCGAGGCTGTCAAACTTTACCATGTTAAAACCGCAACTATTGGTTCATTAAAAACTACCTGCCAGTTTTCGACCAATGAACACATTCCTATCATAATTTATATGGTAGCAAGTTGTTGACAAATGGCGACAGTATTTTTTCTTTGGAAGAAACTGTGATATTTAGCCTTGAACAGCCTATTGTAGAAAAAGGTTAATATCTTTACTTAATTAAAACTTTGTTTAATTGACCATTACGATTTAAGCGTAATATTCTATGTTTTTGTCAAGCAACAGCATTATGTCTTCTTGATGTCCGTCTTTATCTCCTAATTTCGCGACGCAAATATTTGCTACACTTTAGAATCTGTTCCCAGCAATTTTTATCCCCCGCCGAAAAGGCGGCGGGGGATATAGAAATGGAAGTGGCTAGCCGTACGGGCCCGTACGGCTAGCCAAAAGTTCTAGCCGTACGTGAGTCACGTACGACTAGCCAGGACACACTGTATTGGCTAGCCGTACGGCACTTTTCAAAAATAAATATTGAAGGCGAAAGTGCATATGTTAATTATGACTTTAAGCGAGGGTTTTAGTCAAGAATGTTTACATTTTAGATCAACGTGTTGGCTACAGTAAATAATTTACTTTGTCATCTCAAGACGTCAAGAAAAAATAGCGTTTGGTTGCAGTTAAACAACATGAATTGAAATAGTTTACAAAATTTGATAATAATCTATTTTTGTTTCATTAAGTTTAATTTTTAAACTGAAAAAAAAACACCGAAAAAAATTGTTGCTGGGCTCTGATAATTGCGTCAATTACTGCCGGTATAGAAGTTTGTTAAGAAAAGTTTGCATTATGAAATTATTTTTCCTTTTCACCGTTTTTTTTTTTAATATTCTTTTTATTTATTTATTTACTTCCCTCCGATCATTATTTATTCGTTATAACATGCAACTTTGACATTCAATTTTATTAAGATAGATTATACAACGCTTACTCGTATTTATTTTTTTGTGCAAAATTGCGGAGCATCTTTATTAAAGTGAACACACTAGGACAAATGCGGAGATTTGATTAAAATCGTTGTTTAAAGACACAAAATAACAAATGCATTTTCGACTTCCATATAATTTTGAAAAGTGCCGTACGGCTAGCCAATACAGTGTGTCCAGGCTAGTCGTACGTGACTCACGTACGGCTAGAACTTTTGGCTAGCTTCCTATAGAAATAGTCTCCGTCCGTCCGACCTTCCGTCCGACATTTTTGTCCGGAGCATATCTCTAAAAGTATTTGAGTAATCAACTTGAAACTTCATAGGTGGATAGACCTCATTGAGGAGGAGTGCAGTGCACAAGAATGATAACTCTACCCTGCATAATTTTTGAGTTATTGCCTTTTGTTATTTTTCAAAATTGATTTTTGTCCAGAGCATAACTCCAAAAGCCTATGAGATATCAAAATGAAACTTCATAGGTGCATAGATCTCACTCAGGAGGTGTGCAGTGCACAAGAATGATAACTCTACCTTTCATAATTTTAGAGTTATTGCCCTTTGTTATTTTTCATACCTAATTTTTCACCCGAGTGGAGCATAGCTCAAAAGTGTTTGAGATGTCAACATGAAATGTCATAGGTGGATAGATTTTATTGAGGAGGAATGCTGTGCACAAGAATGATAACTCTTCCCTGTACAATTTTTTAGTTATTGCCCTTTGTTATTTTTCAAAATTGATTTTTGTCCAGAGCATAACTCTAAAAGCCTATGAGATATCAACATGAAACTTCATAGGTGCATAGATCTCACTCAGGAGGTGTGCAGTGCACAAGAATGATAACTCTACCTTTCATAATTTTGAGTTATTGCCCTTTGTTATTTTTCATACTTAATTTTTCACCTGAGTGGAGCATAACTCAAAAAGTGTTTGACATATCAACATGAAATGTCATAGGTGGATAGATTTTATTGAGGAGGAATGTTGTGCACAAGAATGATAACTCTTCCCTGTACAATTTTTGAGTTATTGCCCTTTGTTCTTTTTCATACTATTTTGTCCGGAGCTTATCTCAAAAAGTATTTGAGGTATCAACTTGAAACTTCATAGGTGGATGGATCTCATTGAGGAAGAGTGCAGTGCACAACAATGATAACTCTACCCTGCATAATTGTTTAGTTATTGCCCTTTTTTTATTTTTCAAAATTAATTTTTGTCCAGAGCATAACTCAAAAGGCCTTTGAGATATCATTATGAAACTTCATATGTGCATAGATCTAACTCAGGAGGTGTGCAGTGCACAAGAATGATAACTCTACCTTTTATAATTTAAGAGTTATTGCCCTTTGTTCTTTTTCATACTTAATTTTTCAATTCAATTTTTTCTCAAAAAGTATTTGAAGTATCAACTTGAAACTTCATAGGTGGATAGATTTTACTGAGGAGGGATGCAGCACACAAGAATGATAACCTACCCTGCATTATTTTTCATTTATTGCCCTTTGTTATTTTCAGCCATCAGTATTCACATAGGTTTCAAATCTGTAATCACTATAGCCATCAGTTTTCATTACCAAAAGACCTCTTAAAATGGAATTATTCTGCTGTACTACATATACATTCTTCCAATGAGCAAACACATTCGGCGGGGGATGGCCATGTTGACATGGCTCTTGTTAACATTATGATTTTACCCTACTTCAATATTCATGTTTCTCTACAAAATCACTCTAATTCTAGGGTCAGGGTTAGTGTTTAAGGGTTATTCGTTTACAAAGGTTAGTATGGATTTTGCTGCGGACAGATTCTAATCATAATGCTCCCAAATATAATATTGTGCTTCCGTTACTTCATGTTACTTAACACTTGAAACAAGAAGGAAATCAAACAATGAAATTTCTGTTCAAAAAGTTAAATAGTCATAAGTAGCAACATTTGGTTATTTTTCTGCAGTATAACACAAGGAAACAACAACATATTCTATCAAAATCAGATTTAATTGTCAAGACATAGATCATAGGTTAGTCATTTTGAAACTTCTACTTCTATGTTGAGCTCGTCTGTAAATCTGCTGTGCAGACATCAGCGACGAGTGGTGATGTGAATTGTGCTCCATAAAAACGTGGGCTAAAAACCTGCCCCCCATGTGCGGCACCAGGCGTTCGAGTTAAAATAATGTGAAAACGTAGTGTGAAGTAAAATCCAAACATGTTTATACACTATATACACGATGTTTAATAATTTACTCAAATACGTAAGACTGGACAGCAGTCTTAAAACTGTCCAGATTGTCCATAGTTGTGGTAGGTTGTTCCAATAAGGCACAGTTCTTGGAAAGAATGAATGTTTGTACGCATTAAGTCTGCAGTGATAAGTGACAAACTTTACCGAGTGTGTGTATCTTGTTGATAGTTGTGGGTGGTATTCAACTGGTACAGCCACCAGGTTATTAAAACACTTTATACATGAGAATTAAGTCCGCACACTGACAACGTTGTTCAAGTGTTGGCCATTTTAGTTCGTGTAGCATTGATGATACGCTAGATGGATTATTATGGTTGTATGGCTTATTCATGACGAATCTTGCCGCGTTCCGTTGTATTTGTTTGATTTTCTTTGAAGTATTTAGTTGTTGAGGGTTCCAAATTGGTGACGCATATTCCAGTTTAGGTCGAACCAAAGTTTGATTAGCTCTTTCTTTTACTATGGTGGGACAGTGTTTTAAGTTCCGTTTGATAAAACCAAGAGTGCTAGAAGCTTTTGCTGTGATTGAATTGATGTGTAGGTTGTATTTCAGAGTATCTGCTAGTCCAACTTCCAGATATGGATGGTTTTTAACAACATGTAGTGATTGATTTTTCATTTTGTAGTCAAAAACAGATTTGTTACGTTTATTTGTTATTGACAGGGTCGCACATTTATCAACGTTAAATTCCATTTGCCAGATATTACTCCAATCAACTAAAGTGTCCAGGTCTTTTTGCAAAATATTATGATCTTCACTGGTGAGTATGGGTCTATAAATTACACAGTCGTCAGACTATAGGCGAATCGATGACTTAATATCAGAAGCGATGTCGTTGATATATAGTAAAAACAATGCAGGACCAAGCACGGTTCCCTGAGGCACGCCCGATGTTACCAGTGACGGTCTTGAAGATTCTCCGTCTACTACCACTCGTTGATAACGACCGTTAAGGAATTCATTAATCCACAAATTGGTTTCATTGCGTATACCATAATGTTGCATTTTCACAGAGAGTCGCTGATGTGACACTTTATCGAAAGCCTTAGAAAAGTCAAGCACCGCCATATCAACCTGGTGACCATAAGATTAACACTACGAGCAATGTCATCTGTAGTTAATAAAAGTTGAGATTCACACGAGCGTTTAGCCCTGAACCCATGTTGGTTTTCGTGAAGAATGTTCTGGCTGTCTAAATGGTTCATTACTTGCGAAACTATTATATGTCCAATCATTTTAGAAACAACTGCAGTTAAACTAACAGGGCGAAACAGTGTGTTATCATTTAAATCATGATAAATGATGATACACGCTTTTTTTGCATGGTTCAGTTAAAATTTGTAAATGTTAATATGAAATTAGGCGAAGCCTACCTATGAACAGGGAAGTTGGTTAAAATAATCATTCATTTTTTATGTTTTAAAGATGTCATTCGGTATTTCGTGCACCGGTTCCTTTTTCACTCAGATTAATATTGAGCCAAAAAGTTGAGATTGTTCCATTATCAGAATACACTGTCTGTTATCATTGAGTTACATTGAAAATAACGGTACCCAACTAGATATGAAACTGAAAATTTCACTGATAGGTATAGAAAATGATATATTTTTTTATTGTTTTATGTTTGATTTAGATATATATACATGTAGTCTATAGCCAGGCAAGCCAAATCCTGGGCCCACTTCGCAGTCTTTGACTTCCTAGTATAATTTTCTCAATTTTGAATATATAAACTATATTTACTTTGTTGTTGATAGTTATACCCCCGCACAACAAAGTTGTAAGGGG